CAAATGATAGAGAATAAACTAGAATTTAGGGCGAGCGTAACACAAGATCCATGTAGACAGATTTGTGGTCTCAGATCCATCTGAATACAAAAACACCAGAAATAATCGCATTCTTCTTGTAACATTCTGTCTGATGTATCATGTTCAGTCAGGTGAAAAATTCATCGCGTTGGAAGCAAACAAACATTCTATGCCTAGTTTGCACATGTATATCAAGACCACTTTACTCAGTAGCCACCTAATCCAAATTATTCAGACCCAGCTAACAGTATTTGGAGTGAGAACCATGATATAAACTCATAGGCTGCATGCTAAAGATGAGGGCATTACCAGTAAACTTGGCTTTCACAATGGATCGTTGGGATAGTTCATCTTTTCCCTTCAACAGGGCATGCCACTCCGCGTCGCCTAAGAAGTCCCTCACCTCCACGGCGAGCTGCCTTGACAGCTCGTACTTGCCGACCAGCAAGTTGTTCGTCTCAGTGGCGATGAGATGAGGCGGCAGAGTCACCTGCAAAGGAGATGTATAATATGAAGTCCTGCATTCTGCTTAAGAGGCTCGGATTTCAGCCCATGGTTTGACAAGATGGCACAAGAGAGCAGAGCATGTCCATGCATATGGACAAAGGTCACAGGTACAAAACATACTTCTATCAAATCATAGTACTTGGAACTGTACCCTCATCACCAAGTCACATCACCCACCGATAGACTAGGACACACAGTGGATCAACACACAAGTACCAACAGTACCGACTAGGGACTAGGGAGCATCCACAGCAACTCGACTACCATCCACGAATCGATAGACTGGCAAGCAGGGTTTCGTGGGAAATTTACAAGACTATTCACACATAGTAGCAACTACAGCAAACCGACTCTGATTTGATAGACTAGCAAACCCGACTGCAGACCTCTACTCCTATAGCCAGTACCAAAAATAGGACGGAATCCAGAGTAAAGCATTTTACCTCTTGATCGAGCCCACCGATCCCGGCCATCTTTGTTTTGGGGGGAGCTCTTGAGGCGCACAGGCAAGATTAGGGCTGCAGTCGGCGGAGGCGCACAGGCAGGGGGTCAGGGGCTCAGGGCAGCAGTCGGCGGCGGCAGAGGGCGGAAGGAGAGGAGGAAGGAGTGAAGGGGAAACACCCCCTCCATTTATATAGGTGGGGATCTGATTTACTAGGGTTCTGGACATGACTACAATTACACTTTGAGCCCACCGAATCGGCATAATTTAGACGGGAGGATTTTCAATTACTGGGCAGTTTTGCCAGAGCAACTCTAACAAATGCCGTAAGTGGTAAAACCTCTAAATTTGCAGTATAGGTTAAAAAAACGCACCGAATAGACCCCATAAAATAGCAGATCCTGGAAAAAATGCACATCACCGCATATTATCACCACGTACCCCATATCTGCAGTTTTCAAGCTGGTTTTTTAGGTGAACCGTAAACGAGTCAACGCCGGAGCAAGCGGCTGGAGCGTCGCCGTAGCAGGCGGCCGTAGCATCGCCGAAGCAAGCGGGGGAGCTTGGCAGGCGGCCGGCCAGAGCAACGCTGGAGCCGAGGGGAGAGGCCACCGGGATCAGGCGCGGGTGCGGAAGGCGGGATGGCCTGACGCGATGAAGTGTTGAGGGATTTTTTTTCAGTACGAGTTTGCGGCATCTGTTCCACCCGATGTCACGTGATATCGCGGATCCATTTTAGAGGGAGCCCTAAACTGTTTTTGCGGCATCTGCTAGAGTTGCTCTTAGAGCATCTCCAACCGGAAGACTACTCCCTCTAGTATGTCTAGACTGCCACGCATGGACCAAAAATTGTCACCCAACCAAACCTTCTCAAAACCTAGCCCATATGTCCGGGTTATCCGGCAAACCATCATTTTTCAGCCTTTATGTTAGACGTGTTCGATGGCCGACCCTGATCCACAAAATCCATCAATTTCCTTGCCTCGGGATAAAACCCTAGCCATTTTGAACAGTTCGCTCTGCCCTTCTCCTCTCTGGTCATCTCACCTCTAACATGGCAAGCAACAACTCCGAGTACGCCAGGTCCCAATCTGACGACGACATCGAACCGGAGCTTGTCCCATGCTCGGATGAGGACGAGATAGTCCTCTGACTCGCTCTCCGCTGGCCCTGGGTCGACACACAAGCTCGCAATTAGATCTGCCTAGACCCATATGTCGCCGTCGACTCCGACTTCCGTGACAAAGAGAACAAGGGCAAGCGCGATTATCAGTGAATTTCCACATATCTAAGGTCTTAGTTTAGTTGTCGAACAATCTAGTCTTTGATAAATGTTGTCCTTATGCCATCGAACTTAGTTAATGCCGTATGAAGGCAACGAAGGTGCCATCAATTGGAGGCGTCAATATAAGTCAACATTGTAGTTTTCTGCAATTGCTACTAATTGGAACATCTCAAAATATTTGCCAAAGAGCAATCAATTCTTGTGAGTTAACCTGTCAACATTGATTTATAGTAAATCGTTTTGTATATTTCTTAAACATAATGCTTCTAGTGATTAAAAATTGATCATGCTCCATAATCGCAACATTGGGTGAAGGGGTGCTTGGAGGAGAAATTATTGCTAGAACTTGATTATTGAAAGATTAGTTTAAACATAATGCTTCTATCTCTATTTAAACTAAGTAGTTCACACCTTTGAGCACACACATTTAATGTCATTTGTAATCCTACTTGCACTATCTATGAATATATACATAGTAAGGCCCCATCATCGCAACCGTAGTTAAAGAAAACTGTTATGCTACATTAGATCTCTTACAGAAAAGTAACACCCGAACAAACCACAACTAAACATGCGATGGGCATATTAAGGGGAGTGGCGTGTCGTCGTGCCTTTGCACCCCTAGTATAATAACTAATTGTGCATGTCATGAGGCCCCAGCCAGACTGCCCAATCTGGATTTTCTGGATCGTTATTCAGGCCTCAACCTCGAGCCTCTTATCTGTATGTCGACCATGGCGGCAATGCTGGCATATACCTCACAAGATCCTCTCTTTGCCTCGTGTTTCCAATCACGGATCAGCAGTGATGGCTATGTGCGCGGCGGCGCATTGCAATCCTACTGACACAAGCGAGCCCAGCGGCACAAGACCGATCCCAACAATGGTGGCGATGCAACGTCAATGGCTGCATGCCTGGTGCTGCCTCATTGGTGTCCCTTCTCACCCAGGAGATGGCGGCTAGTCGCGTCGCTCAACCCAAGCAAGATGGAATTCGATTGTCCCATGTTCTCGGGTGAGGGCTCCCGTCAGTGCGACCTGTGGAAGGCACAACTGCACGACAACATCACGGCGGCAGTTGGTGGCGCTACCGATGGCCTGATGTGGTAGTATGAGTTGCTGGGGTGTCCTCCCCGAGGTCTCATGCCATGCAAATACGATGTTTGCCACAACGACGGTCTTCGAGGTCTTCGATTCTACCATGGGCATATGTGTCCACTGCAAAGTGACAGGTCAGATGTTGCACAATGCGACTACGGCAGCAAGATGGGCGAAAGCCTAACATCGGCCTGCACGGGATGATGCGGTGATGGTAGTGGCAGCCCTACACGCGACACATCTGGCATCTGATGGTGGCATGACGCCTTCTATGGGCATCCACGAGGCTCTGGCTCCAAGCACAAGACTTTGTTGATGGGGCTAGAGTGCACCAGTGATTCCCGATCAACATCTGGCAATATAGCATATGGCAACGACACTGGAGATGTGGTGGAGGCAGCTAGTCGTTCATGTCAGTCTTGAATCGCAACAGTCAGTACCGCATCGTGACAAGGACGGTCCCTTAATGGCTATGGTGACATTCCCGTCTGCTAGCGGCACTTCAATAGGGTACAACTGCTATGAGGATGCTTGCCTTGAGTGGTTGTGTAGTTACTTTGCCCCTGATGCACTATTTGAGGGCCATTTTCATCATCGCTACCGAATGCACAAGCTACTATTCTTGCGCATCATGGGTGGTGTAAAGGACTAAGATAACTACTTCGAGCTGAAGAGGGGTGCTATTTGTGTGCTTGGGCTCTCTGGTCTACAATAGTGTCCAACTGCTATGAGGATCCATGCATATGGCACAACTGCAGACCAATGGGATGAGTACCTCTAAAAGAACAAGCTTGGAAGTAATGGTCCAATTTGCTACTACAGTGGCGAAGGTGTTTGGATTAGAGTACTTAACAGAACGAAATACTCAGAACACTCAAAAGACGTTTGGCAATGAGAGAAGCAAGAGGTTTTACCGTTACTCTCGGATCCCTAGATTGCATGCAATGAAAATGAATGAACTGTCCATATACTAAGGGCACTATCACGACCATCATAAATGACATGCCAGGATCTCACAATGACATTAAATGATAGATAATGTTGGATGGATTAAAAAAAGGCAGAGGCGATGATTGATTACAAACCTTGTAGCAAGTCACTTCTTGTCTAGAGCTCACGGACAACCACTACCTATCAATAAAAATAATCTCAGTTAGTTTTCATCATGTGCCACGGGAGAGGGGAGGGAGTTAATTTATTTGATTCTATGAAGATGATGAGAAAACACAGGGAGATCCCCAAGGAACAAACAACAAAGTAGAACACGTGAACACAAAAAAACCAAACAAATTTGATTAATGACATCATCTCCATGCAAACTTGTTTACAAATGTGATGAACATTGTGGTGTGCGCCTAAAATTGAAACTTGCTAACAGATACCATGATATTAACTCTTTTCTTTTTATCTATCACTACTAGCCATTACGGGCATCTCCAAGGCTGACCCGCAAATCAGACACCGCATCCGTCCACGGACAGGTCCGGACCAGTGTCCGGACACGGGAGCCGGCCATCCAATCATATACCTCAAATGTCCTTTCTATTAACTTAAAAAATATCAACAGCAGCAACTTTCCGTCAATAGCAGCGGTCATGCATTTACCAAAGCTTTTTCGTCAAATAGTCCACTAATGTTATGAGGTTAGCTAAATCACATGTACAAATGCTAGCATCAAGCCTTCCACCATATGAACTAGGCGTGAACTAGGCGTGTAGCCAGATTTCCGCCAAATGAATCGGCATGCAGCAAGCTTTGGAGATGCCCTAATAGCCATTGTTGCAGAGCACACAGGTTGGAGTCCCAAAAAATTACCGATGACAGGCATAAACATCTGGAGGCAAAGAAAATAACTCCACTCATTGTTGTACAGGCAGAAGGATGGATGGATGTGTACAGTCGGTGCTGTTACTGAATGTAGGGCAGCCGTGCGAGCCATGCACCTCTGGCCGTGAAGATGTTCTCCACGGACGACGAGGGGAAAGTGAGCACCGGCTGGCTACCATGGAGACGAGACTTCGACCTACCTGCGTGTGGATCCAGAAGCATATAGTTAGAATATTACAGGTGATGATAGAACACCTTGATGCGAGGGACAATCATCCAGGAAACCAAAATACTTCACCTAGCGATAGTTGCATGCTCTGCCGCCGGCGCGAGACACGGAAAATACTATGTAGGCGTGTGTACGTCCGTGGAGAGAGAAGAGCGGCCAGCCGTGCGGCGCGGTGCCATGGCCGCCGGCAGCACACAAACGAGGTTGGGGCAGGGGATGAGAGGCTGAACCAGATCTATCCTAGGATCTCGGGGCAGAGATTGATGATATGTGTTGGGGGTAGGGAGGCGGCGGCGCAGTCCATATGCGTGTCGACGCATGTACGAGAGGAGAGACGCCCTGGCCGGCCAAGGTATTTTCGTTTCTTTTTTACGTGACAAAAAAACATACTACAGTATATACGGTACAGTGAGGTTTTATATTTATTACTTTCCAAAAACAAAGGACACGAATACGTCCACGGCACGCTGGCCCGCAGTCCGGCACGCACCACCACATCTCTTTGTCTCGACCGGCCAACAGGTGCGCAGAAAAGAAAGGAGGAGACGCGGCCAACGAGGTCACATCGCAGGCCACACCATGCAGTCGGGTACTACGTCCAAGCTTATTTTTTGTATCTTCTCCATGCAATTGCTCGTGGTGGGTGGGGACTAGTACTACTAGAGCCTGGTGGAGATAAATTATAGAGGCAGATCTTCTGCGTAGCAAGCACTGCAGGCCCTGCTGCGGCGAGCATGCAATGCATGCAGCCCGGCAGCCCCTGTACCTCACCGACGAGGGGGAGAGATTGGACAAACACCGTACCGACGACGGGGGGTGATTCCACAAAGGAAAGGTAGGGGGCTTGGGGTGAGGCAACCAGAACGATGAGCGATCAAAACCGTTTTAAACCTCGTTAATCTTGTGCAATGGGTATGAGCTGAGACGACGAACACATCTCACTCGCCAGCGTTTAAAACAACAACGGCGATGATCGGGGGGGCTACAACGGAGAGATCACGTCGACTATATCTCGGACATGTGTCGTATCGTTCGATGTTGACGATGATATATAATGACGCCATGGAGTATGCACATGGTCATGGACTCGATCAACACACGCAAACATGGTGGTGATGGCATGTGTTGGATTCGTTCAATGATAATGATGATAAGGGTTCACAAAAAGCTAGAGTCTCGGGCTCGGCAAGGCTCGGCATGGAGGTTGAACAAGGCGAGCCCAAGCCGAGCAGCCAAGCTAGGTGAGCCGTCTCGGTGAAGCTAGGGCCACTCAAGAAACTCACACCAACTAGTTCAGGAAAAATCAACATTCAAGTATAAATATTGTCTTTAAAGTGCAACTTTGATCACTGATTTGTTATATATATCTTGAAAGTGTTTCAATGGACAAATTTAAGCATATGTTTCGAAGTACCCAGCGAGAGAGCATAATACAAGACAGGATAATAAGAATATTGTTAGATAGATCAACCAAACTTACCGACGATAACTGCACACCTTGTGGAAATTAAGTCACTTCCCGTCTAGAGCTCACCGACAGGTGACAACCAAACTACCTATCAATGATGAAGAAAGTCAAGTTAGTGTGCCGAACCCAGCTGCTACACATCACCTCCACCCACTAAAGAGCATGTTCATGCCTTAATCCAGTGAAGCCAAAGAAGATGATCAATTCCTATCATGTAAAATTCCTATACCTATTCGTGCGTCCAAAACAAACCAGTGGCCCTTTAATCCTAAGCATTTTCACTTGATTTTTAGAGATTTAGACACCCAAATCAAAGAACTGGAATCCTTACAAAATTTTCCTACGGATTATTTTGCAATACATTACGTGAATTCTTTTTTGCCAATCCTATAAGATTCAAGAGTGCGAGTGCGTGACATTGCACTTTTGGTGTTCATGTGTTGTAGAAATTAATCCTGTGGGTGAAAGGAGACACAAAGGTTCCATAATGGATCAAGAAATCATGATATACCTAGGAGATTATCGTGAACAGGACACAATGAAACTGGCAGGCAGTCGAAAATAGTATTAAGACTATACTTACTTCTCCTGCCTCAAGAAGGATATTGGTAAATCTCAACCTACGTTTTTTTGGACGAGAAATTTAAATGAAGCCATATTACTTTGATATAGATCCAACGAACGACCATTCTTCTATAAAAATCAAATAAAGCCATATGTTTATTTACTTCACCATGGATATATCCTTTGTTCATCGACATATTGTATTGATGCCACCGTGCTCGCGCTCTCCTTTGGGTATCTCTCTTCCACTGCTACGGTGGCATGGCAGAGAGGAGCAGCATGAACTCTAAATAGCAAGCGGGCTGCCGAGGATAAAATCTGATGAAAAATACAGAGCTGATTACTACGGAGTATAAAAGGGGGAATTAATTAAGGAAATCGTCTGACTAATTAGAGGAGAAAATTACCGGCGGATGGGTATGCAATTAGCTCCTCGTCGCACAGCATCATACACGCACGGATGGATTTGTCGATCTCCAGAGCTAGGAAACTCCATGCAAGCTTAGAGACCTACACGGCGCAGTCAGCTGGATGAAATATCCAAGCCGGCGATTGCATGCACTGCTGGCCGTTGGCGGAAGGTGCTCTTGGCCGCCAGGAAACGGCACGGGGCTCTGCGAACACAAGCGCGGGGATGAGCGAGAGTATACAGGTCAGGGTAGGAAAAACCTTGTGATGGGTCGACGCAAACATACACGGATCGACGACGGCGCTCGATCTGCCGCCGGCGAGCGACATGATTCCATGGACGCGTCTCGCGTGCATCAACTGCCGATTACAGAGCTACCCATGGGAATTCCCTGTCCATGGCCCGGAAGGGGCGCCAGGAGGGCATGGGTAGCGGGTCGAGGCGAGAAGGGCGGCCGGACGAGCGGCGGGCGCGGCGCCATGGCCGCCGGCAGGAGGAGGAGGAGGATGAACGAGGGTAGGGGATGAGGGAAGCCTGATCCAGATCTGCCTGTGTCAGGACCGAAAGATGGAGATGCCGTGTGTGTTTGGGGGAGGCGGCTCCTGGGCCTGGGGCAGAGCCCTCGGTCAAATCACACGGTAGGGTTAGCACCCGCGCGCACACATCGGTATTTTCCTCTCTCTCGAGTACGCTCGCGCGCGTTGGCCCCGCGCCACCACGCCTCCGTCCCCCGACACGTTGCGCCGAAGTAGACGACGAGCGGGTGGCTGGGTGGGCACCCCGAGGTCACGTCGACGGCCACACCACGCGGTCGCGTCCAAACTTTGGTTTTGCACTGATTCGTAGAGGACAAATTAATTTTCGTACCGGTGGCGGGTGGGCAGCGGCGCCGGTGGGTGCTGTCCGAACGAATGGCTGGCTTGCATCGTCCCCCGGTGCACAATTGTCGACTGAAACCATTTTAAAGTTTGTTGATTAATAATCTAATGGAAACGGATGTGAGCTCCGGCGACGATGAGGCCATCTCGCTCACCGGCCGTGAGAACAGCGACGACCAGGATTGGAGCTACAATGGAGAGCTCATCATCTAGGGCATGGCGACAAAGGCGGCGACAAGCTCCCGGGCATGTGTCATCTCATTCAACATCGACGATGATCGTCGAGGATGTACATGACTCGACCAACGCGGCAAGCATGGTGGTGATGACATCTCCCCCGCCCCTTGTCATTCCATGTTGTAGTCGTCGTGCGTGATCTCGAAAGGAGATGAATAGGAGAGGAGGCAATCGACCTTGCCGAAGAGTACATCGGCGACCGGAGAAATGCCAAAGCTGAGTTGGCCAACTTAGAGTCTACTTGTCGTCTTTACTCCTCGGTTCCA